AAGTCACATGCCTACAGCCAAGGTCAAGGCACAGCATCTTCCAATGTGTTCTAGCTTCATCTTCAAGTCCTCCTCACCTCAGCCTCTGACAGCAGGTGATCTCTATGCAGGCCCAACAGTTCACTTTTCTAGAACACTTGAATGGAACTTGCTTCTTCAAACACAGCTGCTTTCTTTTAGTGTAAGAATGTACCTGAGACGTGTCCATATTGTTGTATGGACATGTAAGAGTTTGTGCCTTTTTACTGCTGACTCGCAGTCACAAAACCCACAGGAACCACCCCCACTATTCAGGAACCATCTACTAGGTGAGCAGCAGCTAGTGGGTCCTGCCTCAATAGCTTCAGGAAAACCCTGCCATCTTGGTGATGGTAGTGATATGACTAGAAGACTAGATTGATTCTTAGTTGCACGAGCATTTTCTGGAGGCTTCTCTGGTGATAGGAGTGATAACTGGTAAGGCTAGGAGCCCAAGTGTTGGGTACTTATCTACCCAACTGCCAGAGAAAACCCCCAGGAGGTCCAATCATTGAAGACTCTAAACCCAGTACCGTCAAGCTCTCCGTCCATCCCTCTTCCCACTTCTCCAGCAGTTTTCAAGCACATCAGGAGGAAGGGTAGCATTGCTGCTGTGAACAAGCTATTCCAGAAGCCAGAGGAGAAGTTGATAGGAGGACAGGAATACTTTGTGGTGAGCATAAGATAATGGGATGCTTTTGCAAGGATGCTTCCTTGTAGTCTGCAGGGCCAGACTATATGAAGGAAAGCCCATGTCACACCTGCTGAATCAACATCCCTAAAATAGCAGCCGGGCACTTGGATTTTTCAGCAAACATATATGTAAGTGATATGGTTCCTATTGTTTAGATTTGGTGTTTAAGTTCATCCAGCATTTAAACAAACAAACAAAACAGACAAACTGTCAAGAGAAGAAATGAACACATCATTCAGACCCCAAGCAGTAAAGTGAAGGGGACTAGGTAGACACATTTTTTAAAGCTTTCTTCCTCTATAGTTACCTAATAGTTTGAGGATAATCTTGAACTCCTCATTCTCTTGCCTCCATCTCCTAAGTGCTGAGATGATAGGTGCTTCAAACATACCTTCCTCAGGAGATATGAACAATGTCAACCCTCTCCTTGTAAGGCCCTGATGACAAACTAAAGTGGGATTTCACCGAAGTTCACCTGGGGGAAAACCAGTGAGGTCTCTGGGTGCCTTTATAGATCATGGGGAGAGGCTGCTTGCTGTAGTCTGGGGATCTCTAAGTAGCCACACCAGTAAGTCTTCACCCAGCATGGACAATGACTTCCCCATAGTCTCTGTGGGTTAGCACCTCACCTCTGAGATCCTAAGCAATAGGGGTAGAATTGCATACAACTTTCTGGGAAGGACAGGAGGGAGAGACTGGAATCACAAAGGAGCATTCATTAGCTCTCTCAACCTTCTGCCACCCTAGGGGGACTCAACAGGCCTGCTCCCCATGATTTTTCAAAAGCAGGCTACTTTACTTGGAGGACTGAATCCTATAATAATTTAAGCATTTGCCATCACACTCTGCCACATTCCTTTTTGTGAACTAGTTCCATCAAAATATTCCTCCTGTTTGTTAATCAGCCTCCATTTCAGACACATGCAAGACCTGCTCACTGACACACCTGCTAGCCAAAGAACAAGGCACCCAGCCTCAAGGTCCTCCCTCCTGTGCTGTTCTGCAAGGATGATAACCAGAGATATGGTCCTCTGGGTCTCTTTTGCACCCACTCAAGGAAACTTGGCAAAGAAACATACATTTTGGATATTCCGTGGGTATTGCTCATGGAAACCCTGAGTACATGTGGACACTCTTTCCAAGGGCAGATGGAGTTTCCATTTAGAAAAATCTTGGCACCAATTTCTTCTGAACAATTATATGTTACAGGCAAGATCTGGGAAGGCTCCTGGAAACTGTGTGTCTGGCATTGCAGAGCAGAAGCCGTTGATAAATGGGAGGCAAATCACTCTGACTTGTCCCTGTTCAGCTGCTTTGGAATCTCAAGGTGGAGCAGTAAACTCTTGTGAAATTAGACTACCTTGAAAGAATCATCTTATTAAAATGAAAGAAAGCAAGCCATGCATAGTGGCTCACACTTGTAAGCCAGGCACTTGGGAGGTAGAGCTAGGATGATAAAGGAGTTCAGGTCACCTTTTGTCACTTGATTACATGAGACCAAGTCTCAAACAAACACACAAACAAACAAATAATGGGAATAAGGAAGGAGAATAAAATTTATACCAAATTGAGCAGGTTAAATGCAAATATAACACTTTTTTTTTTTAATGGGTTGAGTATCTGTGGCGATCCTGGAACAATTCCCTAAGGACTTGAAGAATCTAAGGACAGATTTCTCAGCTTTATCTCAGAAAGATTCACAAGAAACCAGATCCAAGAGTTAGAATGGTATCTCAGCTTCTCTCTCTCTCTCTCCCTCTCTCTGTGTGTGTGTGTGTGTGTGTGTGTGACTGTCCTTCTCTCTCTCTTTTCCCTCAGTTTTAGTTGAGTTTCCCTCTTCCTCACTTGGATGGTTTCTTTAGCCTCAAGTCTGAAAGAAAAAGAGATGGGCCCAGCTTGGCTAAGCTGTCAATCCTTGGTTTAGTCAAGTGAAGTGGTCAATAGTGCCATTACAATCTGATCCCCACCCTTGTGATCTCCACCCCTGTCACTGTGAGAGGGAGCAGGGACGGTGGTCCTTCAAGTACTTTACAAAGAATTAGCTTTGACTATTCAGTGATGAGCATCTCTTTGTCCCCCACCCTTGCCTTGTCTACTTACCTGTTCTTCATTGTACTTGTGTTTATTTGGCATGTCCTGGGACATATGTCATGTGTAATCTCACTTGGCTTCCATTTGAGCCATGAAAACAGCTGCCGAAGATGTTTTCTCTACATACAACTCTACCCATTTTGTTCCAATTTATATTCACCATAATCCATTTAGGATAGAAAGAGCCAAGTGTGGTGATGCATGCCTATAATCCTTTTATTTGGAAGGTGGAGGCAGGAGAATTAGGAATTCAAGCACCTTAACCACATAGTGAGGCCAGCCTGGGCTTACATGTGTCACTATATTAAAAAAAAAAAAAAAGGAACAAAACAAAAACCTGCTGTGTGTTTTCCCCTGCCTCCCACTCAGAAGCAGGCTGTACATGCCTGTATCTTACCTGTATTTGTTACTGTATTCAAGGATGCATAAATAATATCTGCTATTATTTTGTGTTTTAAAAAATATGCACATACAGTAGTCTCTGAATTTCATTTTGCAAACTACCTCTTCCACTCTGCATGTTTTTTTGAGACTTAGTAATATTGCTGCCTATAAATGCCACTCACTATTTTTACTGCCACACAGCACTGTGCTGTGTATCAGAACTCCCCATTTTATCTACTCTCTTCCTGAAAAGTACCGACAAGTGGCCTTTGCGTGCTCGCCAGCACACAGAGATTTGATGAGTAGCATTGTACAGGTTTCCTTGGGCACACGTTTCCAGTGGGTGGATGGCGAGATGCAAAGCTGCTGGGCGGCATCTGACTCTCTAGAAAATTCCTAGTGAGTGACAATTGCTCGGAGTCTACTTCTTCATCCATAAAATGAGGTATTTATATGTCACAGTTGATTCTCAGAGAGAAAAATGTGTTACACAATTACCTCAGAAAGTGCTCCCAGTGGTGGTTTGAATGAGAGATGTCCTCCATAGGCTTCGATATTTGAACACTTGGTCCCCAGCTGGTGGCACTATGTATGGTTCAGATGATGTAGACTTGGTGAGGGAAGTAGATCACTGGAGGCAGGTTTGAGGTTACATACACCCACCTACTTCCAGTTTGCTCTCCCTGCTTCATTCATGTTTGTAATTAAAAATAGGAATTCCCAGCTTTCTATTCCTGCTGCCTCCACCTTGCCATTGTGGACCCTAACCCCCTGAACTCTAAGCCTGAATAAACTGTCTCTTCCTTAAGCTGCCTTTGGCCATAGTGTCTTATCCCAGTAACTAACCCCTCCGCTGCCTCTGGTGTCTCTAGTGGATATAGATCTTGGCCAAAGATATAATTGCAATTGTGGAGTTGAAGAAAGTTCCCTCTTCCAAACATAACGGGTCTGTGTAGATCTGTCCCCTCTCTGGTCCAGTCCCTAGGCCCCTCATTTCACAAAAGCCACCTAGATAGGCACTCTTCTACCAGTCTTCAGAGTCACTGGGTTTTCTTTGCCTTCATCCAAACTTTTCAGAACCAAGACCATGTCTGGATGAGGGTGGTGTCCATCACTACAGCTTGCTCAGTGCCTCTGCTGCCAGTCTGGGGCTGTCTGCAAGACTGGCTCAGAGCTAGGCAGATACTGGTATGTCAGCAGCTATCCATATAACCACCAGCCCCTTCACTTTTCAGGAACTATGTATATAGGCCTGAGTCCCTGCAGATACAAATGCGCTCCTGGTGACACAGCCTATTCTGCTCCCCGACCCTTCTTCATGCATCGTGTATATTAAGTAGGACTTGCACAAAGATAGCCTACACAGACTACTTTAGTTTGGCAGGACTTGGGCTTGTGGTGTCGGTCCTAGTCACTCTGCTATGTCGCCCTCTAGGGGCTTACTGACTTTCTGTTGACCCATTCTCAGGGCCAAATGTGGATATTCCTGGCTGGAGACTGTCTAGATGGCTGAAAGGTTCCGATTCTATCCTGCATGACTGTATCTAAGGCAGAGGGTGGCTTAGAGATAGCAAGGTGCGACTCGAGAAGGCTGTCAGAGATGGTAGAAGCCTGGGTTATCACGGAGGCAGCCCTGGAAGAAGATGATTCCGCAGAGTGGGTCTCCCGGGACCTAGAGGCAGCTGTGAGGGCGCTAGCGGCCGGGGAAGCGATTGGCTGTGCGGCTGCCCCTCCCGCGGGGCAGAGGCGTGGTGGGTTGGGGGTGGAGGTGGGGAGCAGACTGCAGGCTCACTGGGTACCAGCGCAGCTGCTTCCGTGCCTCGAGCAGTACTGATTCTTCTCCTGCTGCTCTGCGGCAGTCCCGCGACGAGTTGTGACCAGATCCAGCCTGCGGCTCAGCTTTGCCCATTCGAGGTGGGTGCTTGGTGGCCACCGTCGTGGGAATAGCCCAGCTAGGTCTCTCCTAGGTAGAGGTAGAGACTTCATGCATTTGGATCGCGAAGAGAGGAGGCTGACCTAAGGGCTCTGCTGGGGACTAGGAAAGGCTGGGGCCTGAGTTGGGGACCAAGGAGTCTTATCAGTAGAGTTGCACTGTGAACAAGGAAGGGACGGGACTAGAACCCGTAGGCCAGCTAGGGTGACCCTGGTCCGGGGATGGGGTGGGGTCTACTGTTAGAGTAGACCTGGATTCCTTGGTTCGGGAGCTGGATTTCCATCAGCGTGGCAAGCAGAGCTGCTCCTAGGTACTAGAATTGGAGGGGTGCAAAGTACATCCAGGCTGGAGCAGGTTGCGGGGGTCCCCCCCCCCTCACTGTCCTCAGCAGGGGCTGTGACTGGGAGGGGGCTGGGTCTAGCTCCATCGGGGGGGGGGCGGGGAGAGCGGTGGGGCGGGGCAGGCAAGAGGGGTGGTCCTGCAGTTTCTGATAGCGTCCGGGACACACACAGGCGGTGGCCAGCGCGGAGAAAACATGCAGCGACTCCGGGGCATTTTGCTGTGTCTGCTGCTGGCAGCGGCTGTTCCCACCACCCCGGCTCCTGCCCCAACATCGACTTGGACGCCAGTGGAACCCGGCCCGGCTCTCAGCTACCCGCAGGAGGAAGCTACACTCAATGAGATGTTCCAAGAGGTAGAGGAGCTGATGGAAGACACGCAGCACAAACTGCGCAGCGCAGTGGAGGAGGTGGGTGCACCCCGAGGGCTCCTGGCTCCTCGGAAAGTACGAGGATAAGTAGGGAGTGGGCCTGGGGGAGGCAATGTTTCTAGCGACGGTCACAGTACTGGCCAAAGACCTGGCTTTGTGCAGAGCTGGAAAGGGCCTAACAGCAGACATAGAGTGCCCTGAGTGCAGCACTGGGTAACTGTTACTCCCAGCTGGTTCTATCTGCCTACCAAAAGTTCTGGGTCCAACCCTGTCCACCGAGGGAGTCTTAGCTGAATCCTTCCTGGGAGCTGGGGCCACTGTGTTGCAGGAGTTTTGGGGTATGTAGCTCACTTTCTTACCCAGTTGAGGCTGAGCTGAGGTTGAAGTTACTCTAGTGTCCCAGCGCAGAGGTTTTGAAGAGGCTGGTGCAGCTACAGGAAGCTCCAAGTTCTAACTTGTCCCTTGGGCATCGAGCCTGTACCATCTTCTTCAAGATACAGTCAGGATGCCAGTCTTGAGCTCTGCTGGCAGTCTGATTAGGGGCGAAAAAGGAAGGCTGAAGAAAGCCCTAAGTCCATACCGCAGAAGATAGATGGTCAGAAAGTAGGGAATGAGGATATGCAAGGCAACCCCACTTCACCTACACCTAGTGGGTTTTGGAGAGCTCAAGTGTCCAATTTTCTGCTAGTCAACAGTAAGTGAATTTGGTCAATCATTTAGCCTCCTGAACCAGTTTCCCCTGAGAATTAGAATCAATGCCTCTCACCTAGCAGATGAGAGACCCACTTTGATTTCTCATTTTCTAGGTGCCAACACTTTGGATGGCACCCCACTCCACCCCCTAAGATGGGCACCAACCATATTGAAAGCTTCCCAGGCCTTCTTGATCAGTGTGTGGCTAGCTGCCCTTGGCGTTTGAGGACAGGCTGGAGTGGAAACAGCCATTCCAGTGAACCAGACAAGTGGGTTGGGCTCTTCACTGTCTCTATCGTGGTAACCCCCCTTGGGCAGTCTTAAATGCTGGCCCTTGTCTGCTGAGATAGGTTGCTGTCACTTCAGCCTTGTGTAGTTTGGGTGTATTTTTCCCTCTGTTCCCCAAGCCAGCCTGATGCACTTTGCAAGGAACACTGGATTAGGAAGCAGTAGCATGAGCAACCTTATATTAATATTGACAGGCCTGGGTCCCAAGACCTGTGGGCTTTCTGAGCTTCTGGAACAGTTGGCATGAAAAGTGACTGAAGAATGTGGAGAGACAGCTGGACTCCAGCATGCCCTAACCTGTAATTGCAGATTGCATGGCGCTTCTGACCATTCTGGCCCAAGGCAGGGATTCTGCTGCCCTTACCTGGACTGTAGGACTTTCCTTCCTGTGCACTGATTCCCAGGAACACAGTTCAGCTCACTGGGAAATGCCCACCACACCATGGAAGGTTTGAACCAGGCTTCTTTGGTATCAGCTTTCAAGGAGGCCTGCTTAGCCTTTATACTCATCAGTGCAGTTTGGGACGCCATCAGACCCATGGGAAATGGCCACAGTAGATTTTTATCATGGCTCCACTCTCCCTCCTTCCTAACATATCTCTGCTTGAGCTGTGCATATTGGTTGTAAAGCCCCAGAAATTGAGCATCATATCAGCCTAAGTCAATGGCTTTTCCCTAGAGTGACCTTGTGGGCTGTGGAGGTAGGTTAAGGGGAACTGAGCACTGTCATGGCAAAATAACAGACAATAGATTCAGTTCCCAGCACTCACTACCATTTATTAGTGATGGGATTCAGGGTCTGAAGTGAAGAAAATGCCTACCTCTAGGTCAAAGAAAAATTCTAGAAAGCAAATTACCTGGTCAAATATTGGTGTAAAGAAAGCAGGTTTATAAAAACCAAGTATCTTCCTCATGAGCTCATTGTAAGGATTATGGGGGATTGTTGGGACCAGGAAGTAATGGCTGTCTTTTTTGTCATGGTAATGTTGGTAAAGTGACCGGGCTGTGTGGTACACACCAGGCATCCCAGTCTTTGGTTTTGAAGCCAGCTTAGGCTACATAGTGAGACTAAAGCCAGCCTGGGCTTCATAGTGAGACCCTCTGTTACAAAACCAAAAAAGAACAAAGAAAACAAATTGTAGTTGCATGAATAACAGCAAAGCTTACCAACATGTGATAGACTCTCAGTTAGACCTGTCTCTTGGCCTGGGACAGTAGCTCAGCAGTAGAGCCTAACTAAGCATGCTTGAGGCTCTGAGTTTGATCCCCAGAACTGGAGTGTTGTGAGGAGGAAAAGAAAAGGAAAATATAAAGTAATAAAAATCAGTTCTAAAGTAGTGTATGAATTTAGTATGTTGTGGTTATTGGCTTTTTCAAGTAACTTTTATTTCCATTTATTATTATTTCATATATGCATGAGTGCATGCGTGCATGTGTTGTGTGTGTGTGTGTGTGTGTGTACACATACCCATGCACTACAGTGCATATGTGGTGCATGGGTTCTAGGGATTGAACTTAAGTTGTCAGGCTTGCATATCAAGCACCTTTACCCTCTGAGCCATCTCACCAGCCAGGCATATTTTAAGAAACTCCCAGAAATCCCCTTAAATATCATAAACATAGGCATTTGCTGTTTAGCTGCTATCTAAGGGGATGAGGGAGAGCCCAGCCACAGGCAGTTGATGTTTACATAGTTGCATCGTGAATCTGCTTTCAAATAACTTCCTGGCATTTTATTTTTTCCAGCTGCCTCAAGCTGCTGATGTCTCTTCGGGGACAAAGTAACAGATTTTCTAGAATTATCATTAGAAAAACCAAGTCCTCCAGTGGCTTCGATCTAAGATGCTCCTGTTTTTTTTTTTTTTTTTTTTTTTTTAGTATTCCATGTCATTAGGAAATGTATGTTAAGGATAAAGTCACTTCATCCCACCTGCCCTCGTTGCCACATCTGTAACTGCTATATTTGGAATGCTTTCTTTTATGTATTAACTTGTTTTGTGTGTGTGTATAAGTGCCTGTGCCCTGCATCCATGTGGATGTCAGAGAATGATTTAGGAATTGGCTTTATCTTTCCACCATGCGGGTCCTGGGGATTGAACTCTGATCTGCAGGTTCGGTGGCAAGTGCCTTTACTCATGTACCATCTCCCCAGCCTGTAGCTGGTTTATTCTAGAGGGTTCTTATCATCTCACTGAATCATAGGAAATGCCCCAGTACCAAGAGTGGCTTTATCTGTTCAGTTTTCCTACTGTGCTCTTTTAATAGACGTGCATTTGATGGGCTGTGAATGCCATTTTAAACCACATTCACATTCTTCAGCTGTGAAGCAACTATTGCTTCAGGCTTCAGTTTCTCTTGCTGGTGGCAGTAATCACTGTGGTTGAAGATTCCATGGTAAACTGTGTTTTTAGTTTATGGTTGCATTAAATAATCCTTAGCTTATTGCATTGATAAAGCCATTGGCAGAGAGAGAATGTGGTTTGAGAAAGACTGCTCAGCCAACAGTAGCATGGAGTTTTGGGGACTTGCCAGCTATCTGAAAACCAAACTGTACAATTCCAATACCAGTAGAATTTAGAAAGCATTAAGACAGTCTTTTTCTGGACATATCCTCTCTAGTACCTTGCTTTCCTGTTTTCACCTAAACCTTACTCTTTGCTAAACCATCCAGGTCCCTCTCTTAAAAAATATATCATTTCCTGCCCATCCATCCTGTCTCTAGTCTTGATTTCTTTTTTTTTTTTTTTTTTTCTCCAGTTGGTTATAACAGGAGCTTTTTAGACACTCACTACTGGCTGCCTGCCCCTCCCATTTCTCCCAAGCTGACTTTTTCACCAATTGCTTCTTTATAGGATGCTGTAAGGAGAGCAGCTCATGTTGCCTGTTAACCCTGCAACAGGTACCATATTGATGTTCAGGTTGGGAGTTCCTTAATTCTTGTACCTGCTGAACAAAGTGGGGAGAAATCTCACTGAACACGCATCCAAGCTGTGGTTTAGAGGGGTCTGGAGTCATGCCCAAGATTATGTGGATATTTGGGGGGTAAACCTGGGGCTTGAGCTCTGACTCCAGAACCCTGGCCCATCCCTCCATGTTGTTCCATGATGATGCTGGGGGCAGCTGGTTGTCTCATTCAGTGTTCATCTTGGTCCTTTTAGGCTTGACATGAAGCATTTGCCAGTAGACGGCTCCTTCCAGACTTGATTCTGGCCAGTATCCTGACTCTGGTTTCTTCTTACCTGGTCTCTAAATTATTTCCCAACTATTATAGAACTTGCTGTAGCTCCCAGTTGCCTGGAGCAGGGTTCTTAACTGAGGGCCGGTGAAGGAGAAGGGAATCTTCCTAGTTATCCAAACACCTGCCTCTAGAGTCCTGCCTCTAGAAATGACAATTTGGCACATCTAGGAAGGGACCTAGGTAGGTGTGTGTGTGTGTGTGTGTGTGTGTGTGTGTATACATACATACATACATACATACATACATACATACATACATAAGATTTTGATGATCTCGATGTCTGGTTGAAATACAGGCCAGCATATGTATTAAAGATGCTCTTTAGAAGGGTTTGTTGACCTCTCACTTAGTTTCCTTCTGTGCCCAGCAGGGTCCCTCAGCTCCAGCTCACAGCATGCCATGCTGGCTTGTTCAGGATGCTGCAGCTTTGCTTCTGAACTCTGTACCATTCTCAACCTCTGTATCCAAATGCTCTTATCCTTTGGGACCAGCCCAGTCCTGCCTCCTCCTCCTTCTTCTTCTGAAACTTCCTTCCTTTCTTCTTTAGACCCTTTGAGCTGCTGATAGACACCATTACATGAGAAGGGCCACAGTCATCTTTAAACTGGTTTGTGTGAGACTCTTCCCAAAAATGTGTAGGTCACTGAGGAAATGTATGCTATTTGAAATCAGAAAGACCTAAATTTTAATTCAAGTGTTCCCATTTGCCAGTTTATATGATGACCTGTGTCAGGCTTGTTTTCTTTGCCTCTAACACAAAAGTGAACAACTTTCTCCATGGGGGTTGTTGTGAATGTGCACAGCACCAGGTGTAGTGGCCATACACATGAGTAAGGCTAGAATTTTACAAAGTAGCAGTGATGGTTTCACGATGCAGTAGCATTTCTCCTGGTGCATTTCTCCTTCAGAGTGTCAGCACAAGGATGTGACAGAGGCAGGCACCCAAGACTGCTGGATGAACTGTGTGTGCACAGCAGATTTCTTCTCTTCTAGTTCAGCATGCTTCATCCTTACCAGCTTGGCCCTCATGGCCAGGGGAGGTGGGAAAAGGATGTTAAAGTATTTAGGGGATGAGAGAGGGTGCTGTGGCTCAGGAAGTACTCAGGAGATGGAGGCAGGGAACTAAAAGCCAGCCTCAGGCACATAGTAGATACATGGCCAGTCTACATGAGACCTTGTCAAGAAGAGGGAAAACGGGGGAGGGGGGAGAGGGAGGAAGGCAGAGGGAGGGAGGAAAGAAGAAAGAAAGGGAGGGAAGGAGGAAGGAAGAGAAAGAAAGAAGGAAGGAAGGACGGACGGAAGAAAGGAAGGGGGAAAAAGGAGTGTCAATAGGGAAAGTGATTGTTTGTGATTCTTTTCAGAAGGAGGATGCTTTTTGAGGATGTTTCCCAGAATCAAAACAGCCCAGATAGGAGTATTGGAAATCTCCCAACCCCCTCAGCCAGAACTCCCACTAGATCTTGCATTTGAAATTTCTAGAGGCAGCATCTGATAGGCTCTGTAGTCGATGACCTGGCCTGCCTTTTTGTCTATGTGGCTGTGGATGGTCATTCCATCTCCTGCCCCCTCACCAGGGCTGGAAATGTGATAGACCCGGAAGGAAAAGCTGGGTGTAAACATGTGCTGACTGCTGTTTGTGATCCAGGTGTCACTGCTGCTCACAGAACCAGATTTAAGGGCATGACCTCAGAACCCCAATACCAAAGAAGGGCTGATAAATATTTGCAGAACTAGGGCGTCGTGTAGATCTAGGAACCCCTCTATTGATCAACATTTGAGGGTTTCCAAAGACAGAACACTTTTCTGTGACCAGAGAGAGACTGAGATGCTGGCTGGCTGTAAGGGAATTTAACGCATGTGACCTCTGGGTTAACCACCAGGGCCTGGGCAAGGTAACATGCTTAAATTTCAACTCTAGCTTACACAAACATCTTGGAAATTCCTCTAGACTCTGTGAGCCTCTGTTTCTGTATTTGAAAAATGGGGATATTAACATGCATCGCCTAGGAGGTTGTGATATTAGGAGAGAGAGAAAAAAAATAAGATTGTCATGGGCGATACAAAGCCACAAATATAAATGAGATCAGTAGAATGCAGATTAAAACCCAGAACAGGTAAGGGTACCATTTGAGGGGAGAACTTGTATGTATGCATGTATGTGCCATGGTAGATGTGTGACAGATCAGAGAACACTTTTTCAGAAATAATTTCTCTCCTCCCACTTGCTGAGGCAGAGTTTCTCTGCTGCTGCTCCGTGGGCTCCTGGCTGCTTCTCCTGTCCCTGACTCCCACACCCTTGTATCAGTACTGGGATTGCAGTTTGGAGTCACCATATCCAACATGGGTTCTAGGGACCAAACTCGGGTCTTTAGGCTTGCTTGACCAGCATTTTTACCCTCTGAAGACTTGAAGGCCACGTGAAACATTTGGAGCTCATGTCTAATGGCCACTTGGTGGTCTGTCACTATCACCAAACTTTGCACCTGTAGAAGAGGAAAAGAGAAGGTGGCCCTTTATTTCCCCCCTCAGTTGCAACTGAAAAAAAAAAAAAAACACTTTACTTGTTCACTTTGATAGATGGAGGCAGAAGAGGCAGCTGCTAGAACATCCTCTGAGGAGAACCTGTCAAGTTTACCTGGCAACTATCACAATGAGACCAACACAGATGCCAGGGTCGGGAATAACACCGTCCATGTGCACCAAGAAATTCACAAGGTAAGGGCTGTAATGTAGCCATGTCCTTCCTACAGGGTAGTTCCACTGGAGAGAAAGGGGCTTTGTTGACACATGTGGTATAAAGCCACAAATGTAAGTGAGAGCTAAAGAAAGCAGATTAAAAAACATCAGAAGGAGTGCTCTATTCAAGGGGAGAGGTGCATATCAGGCACTGAGTTGCTTCTGCACTTTTTAGACAATGTATGAAGCTGAGGCTTCTTTTCTTTTCTTCTCTTTTCTTTTTTTTTGCATCTGAGAAGGAGGAACCCACATCTTGGGTTTTCGTGTGTGCCTCCGTCAGGTTGAAGAAGAGACCTTATGGGAGATGAGTCTTCACTATTCCAGTGGGAGCAAGTCATTAGTGATGTACCTCATTTGAAGGAGGCGCACCTTCAACTGGGAGTGATGGAGTACATCTTTACTCTCAGTACTCGGGAGGTGGAAGCAGTTACAGTACAGGACAGCCAGGACAACAGAGAGAGACCCCGACTTAGAAAACAAAAGGGACCCCATCCCCTTTTTAAGGATAGATTCTCACTATGTAGTTCAGGCTGGCCTTGAATTCACAGAGATCCATCTGCCTTGCCTTCTCTGAGTGCTGGGATTAAAGGCATGCAGCACTGTGACCCATGGGGGATGACAAAGGGGAAAGCTGCTACTAGCACAGACTCTCAAGGGGTTCAGTGGGGCGCCAGCCTATGCAGCACACAGGGAGGAAATATTTAGGTAAAAATTAGAAAGCATGAACTAGGCATGATAACTCATATCTGTAAATCCCAGCACTTGGGATGCAGAGGCAGGAGGATCAGGAGTTTAAGGTCAGCTTTGGCTACATAGGTCTTCCTGGATGGCTTGAGGGCCTTGAGGGAGGAAAAATAGAAAACAGAGCAGGGCAGGGTGGTGAAGCCCGGTCTGCACCGCCTGTGAAGCAGAAACTGATCCCCGTCTGAAGAGTGGGCCACATTCTCTTGGTTTTGGCGGTAGACTCGAGATAGTACAGCTGGCGCTGACTTTAAAGATGATGTCAAAGTGAGAAAACTGAGTCAGGCAAGAGAAATGACTAGACGGTTGTTGGCAGCTGAGTCAGAGCTCAGAGAACTCAGTTCTTCTGGTCCTGGGCCAGACCCATCTTTAGTACCAGTCTTGGAGGAGGCAAGAGTGGCCCTGATTCTTTGCTGGGTGTGGCTTGAGGTACCTGCCCTCAGGACAGAATCAGGGCAGCCCACAAGCTGGCTCAGGGGCAGGTTTCCTTCAGGGTTATCTCCTGAGATGAACAGCTCTATAGAACAGGAGCTGGGGGAGTGGTAGAACCTTCACCTTCTTGCCGCTTATGGAGACATTTGTTTGGCTAGATGCACAGACTGTTTTTTTTTTTTTTTTTTTTTTTGAGACAGAATCTCATGTAACCCAATCTGGCCCCCAACTTAGCTAAGGATGACCTTGAACCCCTGATCCTTCTGCCTCCATAGCCCACATGCTGTGATTATAGGCCTCTGCCATCAACCTGGTCAGACTGGAATTTGGTCAAAAAGAATCTTGACACTGAGTGCCAAGTGATGAGCCCCAAGAGTGATTAAAATAGCTGGTGTTGAGTACTTACTAGGTGGCTTTGTGCTGTCCACTATCACTTTGTTCCCTCTGCACAGTGACCTGGTGATATGGAGTCTGGCTATCTCCAGGGACTCTGTCCACTGGCAGTGCTGTGATTAGAACTCAGAAGGGGGAGTGGGCATCCTGTTGACTCCCACTCCAGCAAGTGAAAAAACAAACAAAAGCTTTAGATATTTCCCAGAATTCCTTGTTTGATTTTTACTATTCCTGTGTTTGTCTGTAGACAACCAACAACCAGACTGGACAGGTGGTCTTTTCTGAGACAGTCATTACATCTGTAGGGGATGAAGAAGGCAAGAGGAGCCACGTAAGTTACTGTCTCTCTCCCCTTTCATGCCCCAAAGTGTCGCACCTCTGTAATACAAGCCATGGGGGTCAGAAACAGACTCCCCAGCCATCTCCAGCCTTGTCATTCCTCCATCTCTGACAGGGCCATGCAGTCTGAGAGAAGGCCACACTTTCAGATACCTGGGTCAGAAATGAGGGCCATTGAATGCAGCTGTGATTTGTGACTCAGATTCAAAGGGGGAGCAAGGGTGAGGCATATATAAGGTTCTTTGGTGACAGATCCTATGTCCTAGCCCATTGGATGCTCCATGCCTTCTATAACCCCAGCTCCTGCTAGGGGCTTTGTGAGCCAATAGCCTGAAAGTGAAGAAGGTTGCCTGATGCCCATAACTGTGCTGCAGTTTTCCTGTGGCTTAGCCCAAGGTGTGTCAGATTTTGTAGGCTTATGAAGTCCTAAAGTTGGCAGGGATATAATGTTGGCTCAAGTCAGGGAGAACCCAACGGGAGTCACTGATCAAACCTCAGGACCAGAGAATTCCCTGCACATGGATGTGGTCACCAGACAACGCACTTCCTTGTGGGGACAGCAGGACAATCTCTTCATCCATATGCCTCCCACAGCCCTGGCAAAGGCAACCAGGATTCATGCCCACTCTTGACCTCACTGCTGAACCGGTGGGTTACCAGGAAGGTGGTGGTGTTTTGGTTGGCAGTCAGAACTTTCTTTTTCTTTTCTGCTTGTTTTGGCATAGTGCTCAAATATGGGGACTTGGTAGAGATTTACCACATGCGGGGGGGGGGGGGGCTGGTTGTCCAAGGAATGGGCTCTGCTGTGAACCGGAGGGGGCCTGGGTATAGAGCCAAAAGAACGAGCTTATCACTGCTCTATGAACCGGGGCACCTCAGTTTCCTAATTATCAGCTCATGCTTCATGTCTTCTCTTGGTTCTGAAAGGACAAAGAGAAGGACCTGTGAGACAAAGGTGGGGCTAACAAAGCCTGGAAGGGAGGGAGGCCAGCTTTTCTTTCTTTTTAGTACATGCATGTGTATATGCATATGGAAGCCAGAGGACAACCTTGGGTGTCAGTCACCCTCATGGACACTGTCTGTCTACTGCGAGGCAGGGTCTCCCACTGGCCTAGAGCTCACCAATTAGACTAGACTGGCTGGTCAGCAAGCCTCCCATTTCTACATGGCTTCATGGTGCTGGGATTATAAGTGTGGCCATCACACCAAGTATTTAGAACTCAAGTCCTCATGTGTACAGGGTAAGTGGTTTACTTACTGCCTGAGCTATATCTTGGGCCCAGGACTAGCTTTTAAAGCAGAGAGACACAGAGAGAGACACACACACAGAGAGAGAAAGACAGAGAGAGACACAGAGAGAGAGAACACAAGTGCTCAAACCAGGCAGCCATGACACACCATGGGCAGCCTTCCTAGAAGGAAAACATTAGAGAATTCCTATGCTTGAGGCTCATAGGAAACAGAGGAAGCCATCTGAGTAGAATGGGCAGGACAACAGACTTCACAGGGCTGTCAATCAGAAAGGCTTTAGTTCTCACTGCTCTTCTTGATTCCAGGACACCCTCAGAATGATGCTCAGACTATAGAGGCCCATGTACACATGTTATGTAGGGCACCCCTATTCAAAATACAGCCTTGCACATGCCTGATCCTCTCCAGCCCTTAATAAGGGCCCTATAGCATGTTGAGTACTGTTGAGGGGAATAGTTGTTCTGAGAGCTGTGGGTGAGTAAAAACAAAAGGCCTCAAGGATGCTAAGAGGATCCCTAGGGCAGAGGACAGCTGCCTGTATACTTGTGCTGGGTGCTTGTGACTTGTGACAGCTTTCTTCGTTGTGCCTGGCCTTGTGTGTTTGTGTGTGGCCCAGCTTGGGTACTTGGTTGAAAAGCCCCCATGGGCTGGACAGCCTCCAGCAGGTAGAACAAGCCAGGGGGTGGGGTTTTATTACAGTTTTTCTTTGGCTTTTGCTTAGGCCCTTGGAGGTGAGGGAACTAAGTTTCTCTGTGAGAAGGCAGAAGGGAGATCTGAGGTTGGGTGCTCAACTGGCCAGAGTATGGATCCTGTTTCTGCCCCCTGTTAGTCTCATAGGGCTTTAGAACACAGACTGGGGGCTTTACAAGCTCCCTTGAAGGGACAATGTGACAGAGGCCACTAGTGTGTCTACTTCACTGTAGGGCTTGGCTAGTGTCACAGTGGCACATCAAGTGTCAAGAAAGTGGCATCTGTTTTCCAATGCCCACAACACTTTATATTTAACTACCCACCCAACCTTGGCTTACCATGGTAAACATTAAGTCAGATTCTGGTGACATGATTACATTTATTTATTGTGTGTGTGTGTGTGTACATGCAAATGTGTGTGTCCCTGTGCATGGAAGTCAGAGAACATAGTGCAAATCAGTTCTCTCTTTCGGCTATGTAAGTTGTAGGATTAAACTCAGGTCATTAGGCGTTGGTGGTAAGCACCTTTACCTGCTGACACATCCTGTGGGTCATTTATTTATATTCATTTATTTATTTGAGACAAAGGTTAGCCTTGCTTTGAACTTTTAGCGATCCTCCTGCCTCTGCCTCCCAAGTGCTTGCATTAAAGGTGTGCATCATACCTGGCTCTCAAGCAGTATCTTTTCTTTTAATTTAATTTTGTTTTGTCTGCATGTGTATAAATACACCAAATGCATGAGTGTTGCTCACTGGAAGAGAGTGTCAAATCCCTTGGAACTGGAGTTACAGTTAGGAGCCACTGTGTAGCTGCTTGGAAACAAACCCAAGTCCTCTGCAAGGGAGCCATCTCTCCAGCCCTCGAAGGCCGTCTTTATAGGATGTGAAGTTTCTTTTCCTGAGCAGGAATCTGTGAATGGCAGATTGCCTCTGGAGGAACGCAGCAGTGTTGCAGTGTTATACCGTCCCACTCCGTAGTTCTGCAACTTAATGATTTCTACAGGTGATTCTAATTTAACACTTCACACTACAGAAACTGTCCTTAAAAGAGATTTCCCATCCCCAAAAGCAATAATCATACTTCTCTGACCTTTATGTGTCATAAATGGGGCTACATTGTTTTGAATTTAAAATTCCCAGATGAATTCAATTAACAGCAATCTCCAAGCACAACATATTTTCCTTTCTTTAAACGTGGTGTTCATATTAATATGTATGGTAACCGGACGAGGTTCATGGAAAGTTCCAGACAGTAACACTATATGCCTGTCTAGAAATTTCACAGTCTATGTAAAGTATTGGTCTGTTTTTACACTCAGATGTGAAAGCGGGAACACCCGGAGGCATGTAATTTCACCTGAGTGCCTCAGCTGATGCAGATAGGGCCTGACATCTGTAAGGGGCTTTTGTGTTCAGCCTTCTGCCAGGCCCCTTCGAGGGCCAGTGGGCAGGCTGGCCACTGTGCTTCTGTCCAATAGGGGATTAAGAGGAAGGGGCAATAGGGAACTGGAAAAGACAAGCTATTGTCTTTGTAGAGGAGTCTGGCCTACTTAACCAAACAAGCCTCTGTTTTGAAAGGCTATGTCCTCTGTTTAAAACACATCCTGCAGTTACATGATTTAGCATGCCTGCGCTAGCTACATTCCAGGCTTCACCTTCCTAAGTGATATAACCGTGAGTCTGTTTGTTTTTCCACACTAACACACCTAGTTTGAAGCTAACTCCAAGATACTAGCCAGTACTCCGAGGCCACAGGAGGATGGTTTTCATCATTTCGCCAAAGCCACGCAGGCAGTGGAAATTTGAATGCCTCTGTGATTTCTCTGTTCAAGTGCTGATGTCAGTCTTTTGACTGGAGGCAATGGATGACGGTAATGTGCCCTTGCTGTGGCTGTGGAACCCATGGCTTCCCCAGTATGAAGTCACTTTACCTGTTGCCTCTGTAGGATCCTGGAGAAGGTGGGGTGCTACACCCTGACAGAGCTTTGGCAAATGTTTCATTTGTGAACCATCTTTGGGAGATAGACGGGAACTGAGGATGAGAGGAAAGTATGTCTAGTGATCTGCATCTGCTCAGGCCTCTCCTACTCCAAACCTGGTCACATGTTACAGAGGAAAGGCTTGCACGGGCATGGCTTTGTTCCCTCCATACCCTGATTTCGACTGCTGCCTGCTTGTCAAGTTAATGGACATGCTAGAGATGTTGAGATTCTGGGGATGTGTGTGTGTGTGTGTGTGTGATTTGGGGGTGGTTGTGTGAGTACACACACATGCAAATATGTGTGGAGCCCAGAAGTCAGCCTTGTGTGTTGTTCTTCAGTTATTGTCCACTGTGTTTTTTGAGACAGGGTCTCTCACTGGCTGGGACTCACCAAGTTGGCTAGGCTAGGCTGGCTGGCTAGTGAGCCCAGGGAGTCATCTCTGTCTGCCTTCCCAGTGCTGGAATTACAAGGTGCATACCACTATGCCTGGCTTTTTGGGGGGGCGGTGAGGGGGGATAGGTTCTGGTGATTGAACGCAAGTCCTCATGCTTGTACCCCTGGGGAGGGCACTTGCTCCTGAGAAGTCTGAGGCACTTTCTAGAGATTCTGCCTCCTGGGAAGACCTGCTGCTGGGCAAGGCCAGCTTGGAGGACTGAGCCCCTGAGAAATGCAGCACTTTCCTTCAGCTGGCCCTGGGGCAGAATTGAGAGGGTGCACACAGGTTGTTGGAGGCAGGTGTCCCAGCCCTGCCCTCATCCCTGCAGCCTGTGCCGTCTAAGAAGCCATGCAGAAGGTGGACAAAAGCTCTTTGGTACACTCATTATCAAGGCAAAGCAATTAAAGCTGGGCTATAATTCGTAACTGCCCTGGTTCCCAGCATCCTGCTGGGAAAAAAACAGGACAAAACAGGAAGCTAAGGCTGTCTGGAAGGCCTCCACTGTCTCTGTCTGAGAAGGGAGCTGTGGGACGTTTCCTCTACAGTCTCTGAGTGCTTTGCTGGAGGTCCTAGTCCCAGGCTGGTCATTGTGTTGCTGTTCTGGGCATGTTCCCTGTGGCTGATGCTCACAGG